TTCTACGTTTATTTTGCCAGTATTAAACTAAATTTGATCCCAAAATGTGGAGGCTATTTTTCCTGTATCACCGGAGTCATGATGACAGCTAGTATACATATATATGGAGGCTATTTTTCAAGTAAATTCTGAATTGGGGTTTGTTAGTTTAAGATTTAAACATGGGGTCTAGTTAATAAATTCAACTGAACCAAAAGAAAAGTGATTATAATTTGCTGAAAATGTGTGATCCACCATTATCATTTTAAACAAATGTTTGCATAAAAAAACAACATCATGTTTGGACTTTGAAACTTTGGATTTGAACTTTGGAAATTGTTGTTAAATACTTAAATAATACTGAGATTGTTATTGAATTTGAATTTTGAATCATTTTGGACAGTAATTAAATTGTTATTGTTTTATTAAAAAATATAAATCTTAAAAAAAAAAAGAAAAAAAAAGAGGTTTTTTTGTTAATGTGCTGACATCATCATATTGTGTGATGACATCACCAATCCAACCGATTGGACCGGTTGAACCGTGACCTAGAGGTGGAAAATATGGGCCGGGTTAGGCGGGCCAACCCTAACCCGGCCCGTAAAAAAGAGGGCTCAAACCGGCCCGCCTTCATGGCGGGCCGGGTTGAGCCCAACCCGCCAGTCACCCCCGGGCGGGCCGGGTTACACAATGGTAACCCGCGGCCCGCCGGGTTGCTATTTTGGCCTCTTTGGAAGAGGCCCGCAACCCGGCGGGTTGGCATGCCAACCGCGGGTTGGCTGTTGCCAACGGCAACCCGCCGGTTGGCCCAAAAAAAAAAAAATTATTAATATTTTTTATTTTTTTCAATTACACTTTTACCTTGAAATCTAGCCGTTTTATAGCCGTTGGAGGGGTCTTTTTCGTCATTTTCTTCCCTATTTTTTTCTATAAATTGGCCTAAACTCTCATATTTTTCTCACAACTCAAATTCTCTCATTTTCTCATATTCTCTATTCTCTCAACTCTCAAGTCTCAATTATTCATTTATTCTCTTAATATTTTTGTTATCAATTTGCTCTTATTTTAATTTTTTAGGTTTTGCAATTTTCATTCATATTTCCAATTTCCATATTCCAAATCTCTTTCTTTATTTTATTTCTTCTACACATTTTTTTTCAACTACAAGTCTACAATAGATATTCTCTCCCATCAATTTCAATGAGAAGAAAACTATTATCCTAGTCCTAGTCCCGCTGATTTTACTATGAATGCAGGAGATTCAATAGTCCCGCTTGTCCCAATCCCGTCTCAATCCGATACACCTCAAAATTGGCGTCGTTCCAACAGCGCCCGGTTCTAGAAGTCGTCCTCGTAATCGTCGTCCTCGTCCAACTTCATCTCAAGCTGAGGCGGGATCATCAACTGCCGTCGAAAGCGAAAACAGACACACATCAACTTTTGGGCGCATTTCGACAAGTTTTACGAGACAGAAAATGGCGTTCAAGTCAGAACAAGATGCAATATTGTGCAAATGTTTATAAAGCGTATTCAGGTAAGGGTACTAGTACTTTAAAAGGCATGCTAATAACATATTAATCAACATGGAAATAGAGAAAGCAATCAAACTCAAATACTAATATGGGTACTACTTGGCGTTATAATTCTGATGTATATAGGGAACAGTTAGCTTTATATATTGCTGCATCTGATCAACCTATTAATATGGCAGAAGATAAATATTTTGAAAGATTTGTCAAAATTCATTTTTCCCAGGATTTAAAAGTTATTCTAAAACTGCACTAGAAATGTTAAATAAAATTGTTTAAAAAAATGAAATTAGAATTAAAAAAATAATTTCATACTTGTCATATTAGTGTGGCTTAACTGCTGATATTTGGAGTGGTAGAGCTACAAGATTATATTTGTGTGACTAGTCATTATTTTGATAATGATTATTAAATAAATCTTTATTAGGATTTAGATTAATGGGTGTGGATCATAGTGGTTTAGAAATCTATATAAAATTATTGAAGTTTTAGAAGATTATGATATTATTGATAAAGTGATAAGTTTACTTTAGATAATGCAAGTTCTAATAGTAAGCTATAGAATTTTTTCAAATAATTATCTTTTATATAATAATTTGAAGTTTTTTCACCAACGTTGTCATGTCTGTTATTAATTTAATTGTGAAAAGTGGTATGAAAACAATTAAAAAAAATATTGATAGATTAGGAATCTTTAGCTTGGATTACTAGTAGTAATAAAAGAATGCTGAATTTCAAGAAGCTTGTATAAAATCAAATATGTCTCTAGAACTTTTGCATTAGATATGCCTGTTAGATGAATAGTACTTATTTATGCTTGATTCATGTACCTTATGCTAATATATAGTTATTTTGTAGCAAATAATAGAGGTCCTCATCATTTGGTAGAAAATGATTGGAAATAGCTAAAGTATTTCATTCTTTCTCAATGTTTTACCAAGCCACTTACAACTTTCTGGTGTGTATTACCCTACTAGTCCATTGGTAATACATGCAATTATAAAAATTTCCGATTATCTACAAAAAACAAGATGGAAATTTTACATGCACCAATAAGGCAATGGAAAAAAATTTTTGAAATATTGGAGACCCTTCCTTTTCTTATTGTTTAGGTGCTATTTTGATCCTAGATAATAGCACGTTTAGAAAATGGTTTTGACAATTTAAGTGAAATTTACAAAACGAATCATATATCAACAAATAGGAGAGTAAAAAATAGTCTTTTCGAAGTATATTCCAATATGAAAACAGTTATGGGAACCCGCATTCGCAAAGAGGCGAAATATCCAGAGAAGCTGTAGCAGAAGAAACAAATGAAGACTTATCTCTTGAATGCACTGAATAGGCCGAAGAGCCCGAGTCCGAAGCACAGCCGCAACCTCCTCTTCAGACGCACCACCACCACCAACAACAACAACAACTAATATGCTGTCCTCCATGGAGTCGCAGTAATGAACTTCAACAATATTTGGCAACCCCCGAAATGTTTTCAACATGTCACTTTGATCTCTTAGAGTATTGGAGAGCCAAAATGTATTTTTTCCGGTATTATCAAGACTTGCCTTGGATGTTTTCGCTGTTCGTCTCAACCGTCTCATCCGAACAAACATTTAGTGCAAGTGGAAGGATTTTAAATGAAAGAGGACTAAACTTGCTCCAAAAATGATTGAAGTCCTCACATGTCTTCGAGATTGGGAACGATCGCGCCATCAAGATCAATACAGTTATCGACAATGCTTAATAGAATCATTTCATTTTGTAATATAGATGATACAGATGAGGGAGGTCCATTGAACCACCCCCAATTTAGTTGTTTTTGTAAAATGTAATTTGTAAATTAATTGTCAATTATTGCACTCTTTTTTCTTTACCAAGTTTTTCTCCCATTGGGTTTTTCTTGTGAGGTTTTTAACGAGGCAATAATTGTTGTAATTTCTATTTTATTTTTTGTATAATGAATAAGTCTAATTTTTCTGTCTATATAAATTTTATTGTATTAAAATTGAATTAATATTTGAAATGTTAACAAAAAAAAAAATTGAATTGAATTGAATTATTGATATTTGAAAAGTTAACTAAAAACAATTATATTTATAATTATTCATTTGAAAAGATAAATTAAAAAAACAAAAACAAAAAAAAAACAAAATCGGGCTAACCCGGCCCGGACCGTGCCTAACCCGACGGGTTAGGGCTGGCGGGCCGGGCTGGGCCAGCATCTTTCCCTTAATTGGCGGGCCTAACCCGGCCCGCCTTTGTTGGCGGGCGGGTTGAGCCCAGCCCGCCAAAACATGTAACCCGCCGCGGGCCGGGCCGGGCCAGGCCGGGCGGGTTACTTTTCCACCACTACCGTGACCTAAGCAACAGAGCGAGTTACCCTCCGATCTACTTTTTAAAACAGTGGCTTCTATGCATTTTGTTTATTAATTCCCTCTCCCATTAAGTTTTTATCTTGAAAATAAAGAACATCTTCATTAAATTTAAAGAGTTTGTCAGATTTAAATAAAAATTATATTCTTTATATTTAAAAATTAATAAAAATATTCTTCGTTTATATAAAAAATGTTCTTCAAAACATAAATAAAAATATTATGAAAAATGTTTTTCAAAAAAACATAATTGAGAATGCTCTGACTCCCAAATCTACAGTAATTTATGGAACTTCTGACTCCCAAATCTACAGTAATTTATGGAACTTCTAACAGCCTGGGGCTTCTTTTTTATCCCTTTAAAAATCATTGGGAATTGATTATTGTATTGGTTATAAAGACTTGATCAAATTCCACTGCTTTTTAATGTAGTCCTGTTAGTATTACAATCCCGTCAAACTCCATTTTCTGAATAGTTTAAGAAATTAAATATACGGTTAAAATCTATGATTTTTTTTTAATTAATTTAAAACTCATCCAATCTTACTTTACAACAGTTTGAATGTGGGTCGCAATCTACAATTTGATTTCAACCAAAAACATTACACAAAATAAAATGATAACCAGTATCGAGAGAGAACTCTGCTCATTGGCATATAAAATTTTAATTTCGAACTCCGTAATTTTCAACAATGGTCATTCAGATCCGATTGCAAGTCAAAGTGTCATTTTATGGTTAACAACTAATTCAGCGTTTAAATTAAAATAAAAAAAATTGAATTAAAGCATTTCAACCCCATTATTGTTTTTGAAAAAAGTAACAATAGGTCTAAAATCCAATATCACAATCTCCAATGTGACAACTCATAATTGGTTAGCTCACAAATAGGTTTCGTCTGCTCACCATAGATCCCACATACCCATTTGCAAACTGATCAATTACGAACTACCACGTCAAAAGCTGTAAAATAAGACTGTATGATTGGATTGTGGACCTAGTATTACTCTTTTCAAAAACTAATAATAAAATTGACATTCAAAAAAACAATTATATCCTTCTTGTCCAAAGAGCAAATCTTTCCAAAACCAACAGATCGACAGCTTATTTCGAATCATCATTTAACTCAAAAATAGATATAAAGAAGGCCATCCTCAAGTCATATTTTATTCCAATAAGAGCAAAATGCCAAGTTCAATTATCAAATAAAATAGTGACAATCCGACGTTAAACATCAAGTTTCCAATCGCCTTCAACTTACCCTAACCCTCATCGACTGTTAACAACCACAACAAAATGGTGAATATTTTTCATCACAACGTCAACTTCACCTTTTACTTCTCTCTCTCTCTCTCTCTCTCTTGATGAGATCAAAAGAATGCTAGCATTTTTTTTCACAAACACTACAGAAAATATTCTACCTGGAGAGAGAAACCTAAAATCCAAAAGGCCTGTCGGCTGCACAAAGAGCATACACTATCCAAGCATATAATGCCTGAATTTGTATTTATTTTCAATTTTGTTAATTTTCACTTACTCGAGAGAGGGATCACCCTTTTGCCTTCACAAGCTGGAGCACAAACCACTGCCAACAGTATCAACTAGAGGGCACCTGGTAACTATCACCTCATTCCAAAGTTCACAATAAAACTTAAAACCCATTCTGTTCAGTGGGTTTTAGAGTTTTGTGATTTTAATCTTACCCACAGAGCTAGTTATCAGTCGTTTTATCCAACTTCATCACCAAGAAATGATAGACCCATACACTACTTACAAAATGGGAAAGTTGAAATTTCCAACAGTGAAACATAATATTCTGGAAATTCAAGGAGACTCTGAGACATAAAAGTAATACTAAAACAGTTGTAATGCATACCTCTCAAACATAATTCAACAAAATCTTCGAAGCAGTTGTTACGTCCACCATAACATTAGAACTGCCAAACTCACTAAAAGTATCAGAAAAATCACACGAGATCATCATACTTTGCCTACATAAGTTCACTGACCTAGACCAGAACACATGTCCATTTCCATATGCTGCTCAAGCACGATAATCTAGTACCGTTCATGTCGCCTGGTAAAGATTAGCAAAAGAATAATTAATATCTGAAAAATCACTCAAAATTTCACACACACACACACATCAATTCAATTAGTCAGTCATTATACCAAATACCCTGACCTTAATTAAATTAGATAGGTAATTATCATGGCGTTAAAATAACTGGCTCAGAATTTATCAATACTTTTAGTAGTGCACCAAAGGCTAGTCTTTAAAACAATGAAACAAGCTCAGAAACAAAAGAATTAATGATGGAAAATGAAGTTTGCTGACCGTTCAAGCACAATGAAGATTTTATAGTAACAATCATCCAGCAGAGCAACTTTTGAATATGCTTTCATATATGAAGGAACTAACAAAATCAAAATAGTCAGTAAATGATGTCTCCAATGAGGTGTAAGATTCCTATGCATAAGCAACATTTTTTATATACCCTTATATAGCCAAAACCTCTAGTCTAGCAATTATATATTAGCTCAAAAAATTAACACAAGAACAGAAACAAAAAGAGGAAAGCCAAACATCAAAAGGACGGTAAGAATCTAAATATGAAGGGAAGCAAGCACCTGCGGCGATCATAATCTCTTGAACGTTCCTTTGACCGAGAGCGTGACCTCCGCCTACTTCTTGAATCATAACTGCGGTGGCGATCCAAATCCCGGTCACGCTCTCGATCATATCCACGGTCTCGTTCAAAATACCTATCACGATCTCGACTACTACGGTCATAATCCCTTCCCCGGTCACGGCTGTCTCCTTGATCACGATCACGACTCACACTCACTTCCCTTTCGCGATCCTTGCTTGCTTCCCTATCGCGATCTCTACTTCGTTCTTTTGATCTATACAAAAAAAGCAGCACTTTAAGGACAAGTTCAGGAAATTAAATAATGAAAAAACAATAATAATGCCTGCAGGTTACCTTCTATCATCATATCGATCTTTGCGACTCTTGTTTCTCTCTTCCTGACAAAATAATTACCCATAAAGTACCACCGAAAACTTCTTATATGAACATGAGACACCACTTAATATAAGCTAGCGATGATAGCAACTTTTTCTTTATAGGAAACTGAACTACAATAATATCTCGTAAGTACAATCAGGAAACTTTTCAAAATACACAACCAGAAAGTGAAAAGCTATTGAACCAATTACACAGGTAGTTTCAAGAGCACAAATACTCCTGACATTAAGCCTAATAGCAATTATCATCCTACAGTGCACCCTCTTCAAAATATGCAAATCACACTTATAAAAGGACTACCAGAACCAGAACCTTAAACCATACCACGCCATGCACGCAGAGACAGGAGCTCACATCAATAAACCTCAAAGATAAGAGCTTACATCAATAATTACCTAAATGTTGACTAATTTCCAAGTTCAGGATGGATGAGACACATTTCTGATAAAGATCAGATAAAAAATGTGATGCATCTTTCAAGTTCAATACGTATCTACAATAGATACATCTTCTACATAGACTTGTCCACACTCAAGAGTCTTATTTACAGGAGAGTCGAGAGAATTTAAAAAAACAAAAAAATCATTCTCCAAGAAAAGGAAAACTCACAGATGGTATACTAACTGAGAATCTCTATAGAAGAATTTGAAAAATTATACCAACACCTGAACCAACATATTCACAACAACAGCTTAAGGACATCCCAAAGACATGATACATAAAAAATCCCACTAAACACATTGTCAATAATTTGACTTAAGCTCATTATGCCCAATTTGCAGTAAAATTTGAATAACTAAACAAAAGGAATAACCAACAATGGATCAAAAACAGTTGAGATGAAATTTAATTTAACTACTAACTCCTCACATAACACCTTCAACTCATTTGATAAGTATATTTGGGAAATTTAAGTAATAAATTATATCAGCTTCCAAATGACAACAGAGTGAACTGACATTTAAAAAACAATGTCATACAAAAAGTATACTATGATCTACCCAATTGTTAAATTTTTTTTCAAACAAAGAACATAACACTGTACACAGCATAAACATAAAAGAGCTTTGCTAAAGTGGCCTCCAAGGGAAGTTTAGCATGCTTAAAATCCCAATAAAAGTCTAAGGAAAACTTTGTCCATTATAAGGCAACATAACCTAAACTAGCACAAACAGGACTAACATAACAGCAGTAGCACAAAAGAATTTTAAATTGCGAAATTCATCATACCTGAAGCTCTGCCAGTTTATCGCGGATTTGCATATAACCTAAATGAAGCTTCCCTCCAAAATGATCTGCTAAGCGACGATCACTGAAGGTAACAAGAAAAATCAATCTATTTCACTACATATATCAAAAACTTTCAAAAGATAAGACACTTATATGGCACAGTTTGCCCATATATTTCTATCTAACAATAGCATGATCACAAACATATAAAACAGAAAAAATGACGCACATTCTTTAGCTGCAAAAGTTATCCTCGTAAAACTGGGCCCAAAAGCCTGCTGGTGACAAGGAGGTATAATAGTCGGGTCAAAAGCTGAAGCACTTGAAACCCCAAAATACTGATTCTTTGTTGCCCTCAGAAAAGCTAAAAAAACAAAATAGTGATTTGGAAAGACAATCAATATTTTACCTGTCATAAACGCTCAAAAATGCTCCACAAATGTCACAAACACGTAGCTTCTGATCAGTCTGAAACACCGTTGGAGTTGATTATAGTAAGAATTGGAGATAGCAAAATCAAACAATCACATTAACAGCTTTTATAAAGTAACAGCTTGAAATTAATTATCACGAATGCATATATGCGACATATGAATACAGAATCCTCTCACACCCCACTTTAGCACAGTTAAATAACTAAGTCTCCACCTTTTATAAGGTAGGAGAAACTTAAGGGTGTATGGAACTAGAACTAGAATAGACTAGACTTTTCGGATTCGATAGGATTGAATTATATATAATGTTATCTGTGTTTGGAGCATACCGAACAGGATTATAAACGTTCCAATCAACAATTAAACCCTTAAAAAGATTATTTAAATATCAAAATTTATTCAAAAAAAAATTACTAAAATTATATCTCATTAAATTATTAATTGAAATTGATGATTAAATAATCATGATATTTTGTAATATCAAAAACTGTATTGCATTTAATCTATCTGCTTGTAAATTCTCAACTCATTGAAGAACACAGCGAACTAAAGTGACCCAGCTCCCCTCAGAAAGGCTCCAATCACACTAGATAGCTTAACATCAAACTAAATTTAAGTAAATTTAAAAATAGTCCACCTCTTAGATTATCACAATATCTTAATTTCTGTCTTTAAATTGAATACTTCAGTATTATGGTGCCAAATATAAATTAAAGTAAAAAATATATATAGAGAGAGAAATGAAAATATCATGCAGAAAAATGAACTCACAATGCGCACGTCTGCAGCAGTGTACTTGGACGAATCTAGAACAGGCTCCTGTCTGGCAGGAAGCTGAAAAAAGAAAAAGTATCATAAGTTTAAAAGAGATCTAAATACTGTTGTAAACCAAAAAGGGGAAAATATGGACAAATAGTCTAAAAAGTAAACTACGATTTTGGAGAGTAAGACCTTCTTAAGTGCTTCAGCCTCTTCCAAAGCTTTTTGTGCCTCATCTACCATTCCTTGCTCACCTGATCAATAAACAAGAATTTAGAGAACTGCAAATAAATAGCTTAACATAATAACCAAAAACAAAGTTACCCAGCCTATAATAAAAAACACATTCAGTTTTATACAAACAAAAACGATTATTAAAAGAATAAAACCTTAGGTCCAAGAAACTTTCATACATGCTAACTCACGTGGTTAATTCTCAAAAACATTATACCGAATATTTGCCACTCCTATTTACACATGGTAGCTCATATCAACCATGAGTTTATATGCAATATATAATTTCATATTAATGGTGGTTCAAGGATATAACAGGAGATTAGTGATCTCTCCATGCAGTGTTATTAAAAAAGTGAACTAATGGAAAACGAAGAGTTAAAAGAATGTGTACATCAGACTAGATACGAAAGGCAAAGTAAGAAGGCAAAATTTTGTCCCCAAAGCATGCATAGAACATGTAAACAAGGAGTTTTAACTTAAAATTCCAGCATTAATCCATGCAAACATTTTTTACTAAGATTGAGCAACAAGTGACCCACCAAGATCTTCTGCCTTCTTCAGCTTCTCATTTATCATTTCCTGTGTACGAGCATCAGGCGCAGGTATAGGTAAGGGTGCCAATGGTGGTGGGTTTGGTAGAGGTTGAGGCAAAGATGCTCTATCTTTGTTGAAAGCATCCAAAAGCAGCATGGACTGTGGCAATAAGCAAATGACACATGGATGAAAGTCAATGTATTATTCTATAATTAAATTGACATCTTTACAGGCTCCAAATCATATGGTAACACAATTAAATATGCATGACCATGATAATGAGATAAATTCAATATCTTTACCCTCAAGAAGCTGTTAAATACCTGTTTGTCAGCTCTTATTGTTCTGAGTTCCTCTACCACTTCCAAAGCTCGGATCTTAAGATCTGTCTTGCCTTCATAATCTGCAAGTTAAAGCAATCATCTCAGCCAGTTTCGGTCCACTTAGATTTTTTTCTTCTAAATATTATAATCATGTTTATAGAAGGCATCTGCAATATATAGTGATTAATAAATATATAAACAAATTTTAAAGGCAACCCCAATTTTATACAACTCATACAGATTCTTGCAGCCACAGTCGCACTAGAGTTAGGATTAAATCAATAAATCTATGTAAGGTTGTATGCTCCACATGATACTTCCTACAGCTACTTTAAATCCTGATATCAACACCTGTCCATGTCACGGTCCTTGCTACTGCATGCCATACAACTCATGAGGCAGTAAAGGCAACTTTTGCCACCTAGGGCATTGTGATCCAAAAAACAAAAATAATTTTTTGTGCAAATTCTCCAAATGCAAGAACACAGACAAAACAAAACTACTTTAGCACCCAATACAAACGAAATTTTAACCAAAAAGAAAGCAAGATATTTCAAATCTACAAGCATAACGGAAAAATAACCAATTCTTATAGCCATTTTCAATTGAGACTATCTACAAGCTCTAAAACACTCAATAGAAAAGAAAAATTCATAAATAGATAAGACATATATGTTACCGTATTGATCAGCTTCTTTCAACTTCTCCTTGATCTGCTTTGACAACTCAAGTACCTCTGGTGTCTGCAATGTCAACAAAGAAAATTAAGTTCCCCAACGGAAAAACAGTCACCAGAAAAAAGTTAACGAAATGCATTAAGCAAGTCAATCATCACCTGAGTCACCTCAGAGACCGATATTGCAATTGCAGCCTTTGCATCATCATCCTCGAGACGCTTAAGAGCTCTACCAATTTTCCTATCACACTCAACGATGAGTCTGTCAATAGCGTCTTCTAATTCTCTATCATAATTATCAGTGCCCTTTGCCTTTGCTTCTTCATATCTGGAAATAGTTAAGGAACCACACAAATATTTCCCCAAAAACTAGCATCCCATCCAATAGCATTCAATTTAATAAGGCTCCACCAACTAAGATAAGCAACCATATCTTAACCTTTATAGGAACAGTTTTTGAGGTAGCAATCTTCCTAAACCATGCCAAAACTACCTTGATATATGCACCTTATAATATAAACCTAACAACCCAAAAAATTCAATAGCAAACAACCTTAATTTCTCTTGGAGAAGGAAAAAAACAATTCTATCTCCAATTCTAGATTAAAAATTGCAAAAAGTAGAATTATCAGTATACTTCAAGCTGACAGCCAATTAGAGAATTACGAATAAATATTCTCCAATCATAATTGGGCAAGTATAACGGACAAGCTATTTCATTTGCAAATTCAAAACATGGCATACACTCGCAACACAAATTGAATTTCAATGATTCAATGATGTCATCCCTAATAAGTTAACAAGAGTCATAATATAGTACCAATACCGGGGCCATCAACAATGCACAAATGATAGCATTTACAACTAAATTTCAGGCTACAATTCATCTTCCGTTGCCAAATTGACATGAATTTAAAGGTGCTAAAACAAGTAGCACCCAGCAACGTTACACCACCGTACGCACAACAAAAGGATACTCTTTTCTCAACTGCAACGAATGAACTTTCGGGCACGGCCCCATATCCATTTTCTGTAACAAAAAACACAAATCCAAATTCTAAAAAAAAAAAAAAAAAAAAGAAAAAAAGATCTTAGGGTTTCAAAATCGAAACAAACAAAAAAGAAAAATTAAGTACCGTTAATTGGAAGAGCTCGTGGGGGCAAAGTCCCGCCAAGAAGAGACGGCAAACATCGCGATCGTAGTACTTGCGATTAACTTCTCGAACGTCGCCATTTCGATTGGCGCCCATCAACACGTCGAGTTGCTTCCTCATGGCGTCCATCGCGGTCGTCTCTCTCTGTGTCCGAGTGTCTCCTCCTCGATAGTGGGGGGAATGCTCAAAAACTGCGTGAGAGCGAGGGCGCGAGTCTCGTTAGGGTTTGGATTCTGAGAGGTTTTTTCTTTTCGTGTGTGTTACAAGAGTGAAGCGTGTTGTTGGTTGTGTTAGGGAAACGTAATTAGTAATTAGATATTTAGACTACACTTGGTTTCCATATTTACATGGTAGCCCTTGCAGTTTCAGGACTTTACAAGTAGACCATCTTTACGGAGAAAGTTTTGGATGAGACAAACAACCGTTTTTGCACGTTGCATAATTATACTTGGCATCTGTTATATTGAAGAAATTTCGAGCATTTAATTCCATTTAAATTCTACTATTTCATTAAATAAATATATCAACTTTGGTTATAATTTTGATACCATAAATAAAGGATTGTCACAGATGTGTTTAGTAGAGTATTGTGAGTAGTATTTTTGAAAAAGTTGAATTGGGTTATAATTAGGAGGATATGATTTAAAATTAACAAAACACCTTCTAGATTTATTAATTTATAAACACTTCCTATAATAAAACATTAAAAATTAACAAAAATACTTCCACTCACCCATTAAATATTTGCAGTCGGCTACCACCACCGGAAGATGGCTGGAAGTCACCATAATAGCACACGACTGGTTGAATTTGGTTGATCATGCTTCGATCTGACCTTTTTCGACCACCATGAATCTAGTCAAAAAATGTCAGATCTACGGCTAGGATTTGGCCGTTGAAAGCCACATCTGGTTGTCAAACACAGTCATCTCTTGGTTGTCGTTGACAACTAGATGTGGCCAAAAATCTGGTTGTCAACAGGTGAAAGAGAGTATTTTTATTAATTTTTAATGTTTTATTGTAGAGAGTATTCAATTAAATTAAGAGGGTTAAAATAGTTTAATATAATAAGATTTTGAGAATATTAAAACAAATATATGTATTTTAGGTAGGATAAGAATGATAAAACAAACACAACCATAATTTTCATGGTACCTCTAAGGTTTGGCGTGGAAATGAGTCTCCCCTAAATTTGAGAAACTGGCACTTTTATTCCTAAATGTGTATCTATTAGTTAATATATTTTGTTGATTGGGTGCCTTAATTAATTTGTGTATAACTCAACTAATCCTTCAGGATCTTGAAACTATTGGTCGGGAAGAGTTCCATGTAAGATATAAAATATATTTTAAATAAATGATATGATTTTAGACAACCAGTTCAAAGTTCAAGTCAAACAAAAAATGAGGGACTATTTTGAATAAACAACTAACTATTTTGGCATTGTTGTATTTCAAAAATGTAAAAAAAGTATTTAGTTTATCAAAAATTCAAAATGTCTTTTATTATCTATATCATTAAATCTTTTCAATATAGCTTCTCAAATCTTTTCACTTAAAATCTCATCACAATTTAATTTTTTCTTGTTTTTATGATCGAGGGTTTCCGAACCACTTACATACATTTTAACTAATTTTTTTGGATTTTGAAATTACAGATCGGATATGATTACCTCTATTAACAATTAAAGAAAGACTCGAACTCGAGATCTTTTAAATAATACATTTACAAGTTTCTATAGAACCACTCGTCACACAGGAGTAGTTTAACTTTTGTTTCATTACATTGAATCTAACGGGATCACAAAAAAAAAAAAAAAAAAAAAAAAATTAAAAAAAATTAATTTTTATAAGCTTAACGATCTCTAAATTATTAAATTACAATAATGCCCCTCTCCATCAATAAACCATCCAAGAGACTTGGACTACAAAAAACAAACGCACATTCTCTAAACTAAACAAAGAAAAGAACAAAAACAATGAAGAAGCTCTCTCTTTTCGCTTTCTTCTTCACTCTTTTGTTCCTTTCCTCTTCGGCTTTCGATTCCGACGAGCTTCTCCTCGACGACGAGGAGTTCGGCATTGAAGGCAGGGCCCAGCCCGCCCAGCCTCAGGTCAAGCCCCATGAGCTGGCCACCACTCGATCCACCACCACCACTACCCGGAAACGATTGTCCGATTCGGATTCGGACTCCAAGATTCAATTCTCTCTTGAACATGCTTTCGGTGACTCCGATTTCACACCTGCTGGTACTTTCTCTGCTCGCCTCAAGACTGCCAGCCACGGTGGCCAGGTCTGTCTCTCGCGCTCCGTCGTTTTTTCTGTTTCCTTTGTCGTTTTATGCTCACTGTAGAGTAATTGAATTAATCACGGTTCCGTTACTGGGATCCGGATTTTAGTAACCTAAAAATGTCAACTTTATTACTAAATTGAGAAGTAGAAGATATGAAGGTGATACTATGTTGTTATCGGCTCGTTTAAGTTACTGGTAAAAAAAAAAAAAAAAAAATTTGACCTTGATTTAAGGGTTGTAATTGGGCTGGTAACGTTGTGGGGGTCAAATGTTACTATTTTTGCAGTATAATTGGAGTAAAATGGGACAACGGATTTAGAAGATAAGCTGGTTTTTGTTTTGGGTTTTGTAGATGAAGCAGTTGGAGTCATATTATTATAATACTGGGAGTCTTAATGAAGAAACACTGGTTAGTGATTTGGATATTGGGGAGGGAGAGTGAGAGGTCAAAAGAAGTTAGATCAGGTCTTGTAAGAGTGTTTTCGTGTAAGCATGGATAGGTTAATTGGGTTAGATAATATGGTTTGATCCCATGAGGTTTAGGGTTATTTACGTTGTCAAAAGCCATGAATTTTCTGCTTCCTGAAAGCGCTCTCCTGTGAGAGAATAGAGGGAAAGGGAGACTGTGGAGATATTGTAGGTGAGACTATTAATGAAATGTTAGTGATGACTGATGCTGTCTTTTGTTTCTTCTTTATTTGATTGTTAAGATATGATCTTTAAGTGAAATATTTTAGATGAGCATGTCAGGCTCAAATGTTCTTTTACTGTTGACTATCACAATCTTAAATTTCTCTTATTACATGAAAAAAAGTGGATCAGTTTCTGATTGATGTGGAAATTTGTTGGTGACAGAAGCTTACAAAGCTGCGGATTTCAAGAAATCAGTTTTTAGGAGTGGAGAAGGAGAAATTTGAAGTAATCTAGCTTTCTCCAACATCTTGCTTTTCTTTCTTTGCTTCTTCACAGGTTGGCATCTATAATGTTGAAATATGTTTGTATTGTTTTTGCAGAAACTGCTGCAAGATGATGACTTCTATAGGATAAGATTACCATCCAATCCTTTAAGCCCTCCTGGTAGGGATTACATTATTTCTTCTGTGAAAGCAGTAAGTTGACAAATCATTTTTATTGCTTTATATTCAAATGGTTTAACCTTTATTAGCCAATTAGGTTGTGTTATACTTTCATCTGCTTGCGTTAATTTACCAGATGCTTCACAGATGAAATCATTGTTTTGTTTTTTGCTTTTGGCACTGGCATCTTCTGATTGGTTAGTTGTTTTCCTAATATGTCTGTCCAAAAAGAAAAGGAGTCTAAACTCATAGTTTCCACAAGACACAAGTTGTATGCAATTTTTTTTTTTTTTTTTTTTTTTTTTTTTTTTGGTTGTGGGGGGGGGAGGGGATGGATGGAAAGGCAGATGATGCTTCTTGTATATAATCCTTGGATGCCAACACTCCAACAAAACGATAATATTTTGTTTGATGGCATGATCTATTCTATGTTTTACTTGTTGCTATTCTTTTTATTTTTCTTGGTTCAATCTTTAAAATCTATTATCTGTCCAACTGTTCAATATGTGATTAAAGAACTTTAAGCATTTTCCAGATTTCCTGCCAAAGAGGGTCAAAAAATTTTGTTTGGGTCGTGAAAATAAAGTTCTGATAACATGTTAGCCCGGGATGAAATACAAGTTTTGAAACCGTTAACCTTATCTTAAATTTATGTTTAGTCTACTTTTGTTGTATTTTTCTGGTGGTTCTGTTCTTTTTACCCTGTCTAGCCTCCCACCCCTTGAAAGAGAGAGGAAAACCAAAATCTTCATATGCTTGTCTCAATGATGATTTCATGCAGCTCTAACTTCCCTTCTCTTCAATTTCAGAGATGTCTTCCACAGGAGGGTTTGGATGAGCATTTTGTTATACACATGGTAATGGTTAACTTGCCATTTTACTATTCTTTTTCTAAACACTTCATGGTCATATTCTTTGGATTCCCTTATGTTGGAATGTTTGATTCCTTTTGGAAGTATGATGTTTGATGGCCAGAAGGAATGAAGAATATATTGATAATGGAGTCAGAAATTTTCTTAAACACCGAAAAAATATGACCTTAGAATAACGAGGATGATAAGAGACATCTTGATATTGGTGTCTCTTTACTATCAAATGCTTTTGTAAGTTTGATTTACTAATTTTATTATAGGATGGACTTTGTTTCCAATTCTTTTGATAACAAACTATTAGACTATATTAAAGAAGAGATTGAGATATGTGCATCAGTGGACTATAAATCTACATATGGATTTAATAATAAGGGAAGGGGAAAATTTATATACAATACAGTTACAGAAATTTGTCATAGAATAGTGGGACTTTCTTTCTAACTCTTGCTTCACCTATGTATTTGCTACATACTTGTGTATGTAGGCTATATACTTGAGATTAAGCCATTTATGTTTACAAGCAAACTATTTTCTAGCTATGTTGAGCATATTTTTCATCAATTTATAAATTGTAAATCAGTTTTATATTCTTACTTGTTTTCCACTTTCTGAAGGAAAATTTGAACAATAAATATAAAGTTGCTTGTATATGGCTATAGTTCCAAACTATATCTGTGTTGTTAATGTGGACTGTACTAAATAAAATTTCTCACATTTTTTACTTTTAAATTTCTGCAACGGTTGAATGATATTATAATTTCAGTAACTGTTTACATGCTTCCTCTTTTCAAAATTTTTCTATTGCAGGAAGGTGCTAATATCTTGGCTGTCAATTATGGTGCCTTTGGGGCTTGCTCATATCCTCGGCAATTGAAACTTGTAAGCAAGCGCCCCACTTGTTAATCAAATGAATGAGTTAGATCTAACTACTTAAATTTCCTTATTTCTAGTTGTGATTTTCATTGAAGACCTTCAGCATCATGAGTTCATTGTTACCTACATTTTTGCTTTCTATGTTTCAGCCTGCAAAGTGGTCCTTTAACTCACACACAGTACTGAAGAATCCTGAGCAGGCACAAAGGTATTATATATTTTTGCACGATCCGTCTTTTTACATTATAGCTTAGCTTACACTATGGCACTATTAACGAATCAGCAAAAAAAACCTGGAAAGCTGTTGCTTTAACATCAATCGACTCTACTGGTGTGTGCTGTTGAAATTGTTGAGATCAAATAAAATCATACATGCATATTCACTCTCATATGCAAATATGTATGTGAGTGCTGTGAGTGCGTGTGAGAATGCTTGCATCCATGACTCCATTGGAGCTGTTTAAGTGTTGGTTACCTATTTCTTTTATTTGATTGTGTTGAATGCTAAAGTATCTTGTGCTTCATTTGTTGTAGAGCTCCTATATTTGCCGAAGATATACTTGGTGGGGAGAACGTAGAGGGTGAAGTCCTACCTCCACCTGAAAGGTCTTTCTGGGCTAAATATGTGAGTATTCACAGACTTGATTGTTTTCTTCAAACATCCAACCAAACTTATGACTCTGCTCTTGAACTGATTGAACGGATGGACTGAATGATACTCTCGCTTTTGGTTTTGTTTGGAATTTTAGGCAAAAGTGGATTAGCCAACATTAACATTTATCATTCCTGTTTTGGTTACAGTATACTAGTTAATCTCTTTAAAATAATGATCCTGACCGAATATGGTTCCTAAATTGATCATTTCGCTTTGATTCAGATTTTGTCAAAGATAATTCTGAAACCATTTCTGAAAGCATCTTATTCTCGATCTCATTCTCATTCTCATTTTTTTTTCAGTGGATGTACCTGATTCCCCTTGGACTCATAGTCATGAATGCCATAACACAAGCCATGAATCTGCCTGAGGAACAGGCTGCAGGTCAGTCAGGTGGCCAGGGACAGCAGCCAGCAGCTGCGATCCAACGTGGGGCAAGTTCCGCTGTGAGAAGAAGATGATAGGTTTGCTCACATGTATCATTTCGGATATAACCATTAGTTAACCCAGGAAAGATCAACCGATTTTAAGATATTATATGACCAAATAGATGGGATTATAGATAGATTCATGTGTTGTAAATCTCTGAGTGATTGATCGCATTTTCGAACAGAATCAAATGCCATAAGATATTGTGTTCAATACTTTCTCATGAGCAAAGCTCTGGAAAATTTCCAGAATTTTGATGTTTGATGTAATTCTGATTCCTGGTTGAAATGGTTTAAGCCCGTCTTTGTTTTATTCTTTTATCGAATATTTTTTTTAAACCTGGTTTAATCCAACAATATAAAAATAAAAAATTGAGATAAGATATTCAAAATTATGGAGGGTTTAAGAAGGTTATACCATTCGGGATCAAAAAATTTAGAATATTTTTTTTTTTATATAGAAAGTGTTTAATGTTTTATTTTGACTAAAATTGTTTTTTTTTTTTTTTTTTTTTTTTAAATACCAAAAGACTTTTCACTAACAGGCTATCAAAAATTTTCAAAATAATTTACTCGATTTTCAGTTGAGTAAAAAAAAAAAAAACATTTATAGAAAAAAAAAATTTAAATGGTTTTTCAAGTAATTTACATAAATAATTTGATATTAACTAATCCAATGGGTTTCACATTTCACCAATTAACCTAATAATTGATATCGACCCCATAATATTATCATGTCAATAAATAAATAAACCTTTTGAATAGAACATGCAAATATTATTTTAAAATACTTCAAATAGTACATGCATAAAATTGTTTTTGCTTAATTAACTCCACATAATTGAAATAAAATTCAAAAGCTCAGATAAAGTTTTGGCCTTATTCTCTACCTCATGCAAAGAGTCTATCATTATTTTATTTTCTGTTTTATTGGCCACCATAATTCATCAAATCCTCATATGTTAATTTCCTTATGCCCCCCTTGCTTCTGGTGGACTAATATTCTCATCCATCCCAGCACTTCCGCTTGTCGATGGCTGAGAGCCACGGCCGGTGTTTTGGATCAGCTCCAGCTCCAGCTCTAGCTCTGGCTCAGGTTTTGGCTTTAGCTCTGGCTTAGGTTCTGCATCTAGCTCTGGCTGCCGCTGCGGTGGTGCTTGTTGCTGGGCATCTTGGGCAACCAGCATCCTTAACTGCATAATTTCTTCTTGCAATGAAAGATTCAAAGCTGCCAATGTATAGTTTCAAACAATGCATTATATTTATGTAATGATAATAGTGGATGATTAAATAAGAAGGGTTCAGGTTTCATTTGTGATCCAAGAATTATTTTTTATAAATTAAAACATAAATATTAAAATTATAAATATTAAATATAAAAATTTGAGCTATATTATGAAGTATTTTAAAACTCAAAAGGGTGCTTTATATAACAAAGAAAATGATATTGGTAAAATTGAATGTTAATAATTATAATATGTAAACTCATACATATATATATATATATAAATCAACTTATTAAGAAATTTTAATAAATCACTCAAACCAAAGTTTATAATATATAAAAATAAGTGACGTGTATCAGGCAACGTATGCCAAACATTATAAGATTAATAAAGTTTGATGAAAAATGAAAAATAGAAAATAATTTCCATTAAACTTTGGCCATTTGATTTCTATTAGACTATAATTTAATAGAAAATTTTAAAGCTCACCATCTTGAACCTGAACTTGTTGATCAATTTCCTGCTGGAAAACCCTAAGATCATTGTTTTCAGCAATGTTCATGTCCACATCAGCCTGTTTAATTTACATAGAGGAAAAGATTGATTAGCAAATTAAACTTAATTTATAGTAATTAAACACTTGAACAATTATATTAAAAAAATTATAATTAATTAGTTAAGAAAAGTAATTAATAGATATACCAAGAGCATGTTCAATCTTTGAGACAATTCAGCTGCTTCTTGCTCCAAATCTCTGATCCTTCTTCTCAAATGATTTATGTATCGCATGTTCCTTTGAATTGATCCGGGAATCGAACGAGATAGAGGTGGTCTGTTATAATTACAAGTACCAACACGAAAAGAACGAAGATTGGTAATATCAACTTACTACTAGTAACATGAAACGTAATGACTTGTAAAATAGAGCAAAAACTAGCATATTGAGATGTATGATAGTAAGAATAAAAATTTTCTATTCTCAAAAATCTATTTTTATCGGTTATTCATCTAAAAAGCATCTTTATGTTCATTTATATTTAGTGATGCACATATATTAATGCGAAAAAATGATTTACTTAAGCAGTACAAGTTTCTTTGTGGGACAAAGTGATGATAATAGAGATTAGAGAGATCTTGGGTAAAACCTTAAGGGGGTTTTTGAAAATTTTGAAACTTGATGGAATTTTTTAAAATTAATTGCAATGTTAAGGTTTTTCATAAATTTACCCAAAATTTTAATTGGTGGTAGGAAAAATTTAAAAAAATAAAATAAAGAAGAAGGTAAATTTTCATCTAATTTTATTATTATTATTATTGTGAATGAAATTTTTGCAAATCAGCTTATTAAGAAATTATATGCAGTATGAAATCACTCAAAAAGAAATATTTTGACATAAAAAAATAGTGTATCGGACAATATATAACAAATGATAAACATCATTAAAAATTGAGTAACAAAATTTGAAAAAAACAAATCGAGTAAAAAATTACTCTTCGGCCTCTAATAGGGTTTTCCTTTATATTTAATATTCTAGCTTAGAACGGACAATTCCCTGGTTTAAAATGACAAATGGCGAATAATAATAAGAATCAACAATTAAATGTCAATCTTTAATAAGGGTTGGTTACTTTTTATGAGAACTTTTTGCATTGGCTGTTTCAAATTTAAAGGTGCAAAAATATAGGTTTTATGTAAAATGTTGAAAAATAATAAATAGCATTTTGCTGCCTTACAATTATTTAAAGTACATAATAAATATACTTTTTATACTCATGTAAAGAAAAATATTACTTTTTGGTCCTCAAAAAGGATTTTTTTTTTTTTTTATATTTAACATTCTGGTTCAAGATATACGATTCTCCGATTTAAAATCACAAATAGTGTGTAATAATAAGAATCTATATATAGATGTCAATCAATGATAATTATTGGTTACTTTTTTCATATTATGAGAATTTTTTTTTTTTTTATTCGACCGTTTCTGGCATATAATATATCACATAAAGAAATTCACAAAGGTAGTTTTATGAAGTATGAAATCACTTAGATGAAAGTTTATAATTTTATGAACTAATAAAGTTTGATGAAAAAATGAAAAATGGAAATGATTTACTTATTAATCAATAAAACAATTGCATGTACAAAATTTTTAGTAAATAGAAGACTAACCTCCTTCTATGCATGGTGATGGATATGGTAAAAACCAGAACCCTAATCAAGAATTGAAAATGGTTGAGTCTCTCTATCGCTCGCTCGGTTTTTTCTGCTTCTGTGTTTTTCTCACTTGGATATGTATGCTTTTTATACTCATATGTAAAGAAACAAAATTACTTTTCGGCCCTCTAAAAGGGTTTTCATTTATGATTATATTCTGATTTAGGATTGACGATTCTCTGATTAAAATAACAAATGGCATGTGATAATAAGAATCTACGGTTAGATGTCAGTCATAATAATTGTTGGTTACTTTTTATGAGAACTTTTTCACTGTTTCTAACATATAATATATCAGATAAAGAAATTAATTAAGTTGCAAGAATATAGATTTTATGCAAATTAAAATATAAACTTAAAAATAGAATATAGCTTTTGCTTTTTTTTTTTTTTTTTTTTTGTCTTAATTCCTTGAAGTACATAATATATAATCCCCAACCCCAATCTCCCCCACACCACACCCAACACCCCCCCCCCCCCCCCCCCCGAGTTATTAATCTCAGCCCAATAATAGAAAGTTTAGTATTAATAAAAACTCCTGAATTGTTTAGAAATATATTTTCTATATAAATTGAAAAAATAATAATATAAAACATCTATATATGGTAAGAACCAAAAGAATAAATTTCCAAATAAAACATTAATATTAATTAATTGAGTAAAAGGGAAGCAGAAACATTTAAGGTGGCTTTGTCATTTCTAGCAAAGTATAATAATGAGCAATAATACAAATGGCTTAATTTAAGTAAAAGTACAAGAAAGATAATGAAAATACTTTATAAGATAGGGATAAAAATAGTATAGAAAACTTTATCTTTATTGTTTACAACTTAATAAGAATTTTTATACTAAATAAAGAAAAAAAAAATTATTGTCTAAACCATATTTAGCAAGAGTGAGGTTTATTCAAGCTAAGTGAAAGTAATGTGCTAGGGTATATAATAATTGTTACAATAAATTATGTTTATTTTGCCCATTATGTACAAAAATATTTAGGCAATATATAACAAAATGAACCACCCCTGGGTGGCCGAGTGGGGTGCTAACAAATTTTTAGTGTATTACTCAAGAGGTCTTGAGATTGATTTCTCTTAGTTGCTAATAGAGGTGACCACTAAAATATATACACACACAAAATGGACTTTCCTTGAGATTTTTTTTTTTTTTTTTAATTTTGAAGATTTTCATAAATATACTGTAAAAAAATCATCATGAAATTACAAAAATTCGTAGTAAAAAACTTTATGGGATGGTGTTTTTGTGGTCAATTTGTCATGAACTTAACTAGGTCATAAGTTGGTCACAATTAGGGGTAAAGCCACAAAATTTATTTTGGTGGGCCAAAATTTAAGTTGAATGAATGAAGGGGTCAGTGAGGTATCAGGAAGATACAATATGGGGGCCAAAGTGTATATTTCAGAAACTGGAGTGACTAGAAAAAAAAAATATAAAGGGACAAAAATGATACTTTTCTATATAAAATTAGAAGAAAAAAAATTGTGGGACTGGGGTGGCCACCCCAGGCCTGCATGTAGCTTCACCCCTGGTCTCTTTTCTTTTTGGTGATCAGGGGTGTCTGTGGACCAAAGAGTCAAAAATTAGAGTTTGATGGTCTCTTTACAATTTGACCAAAGTGATGCCGTTTTGAAGATTCAAATAGTTTCCTTCTTCCACTTTAAGCAGCTACTATTTTACTTTACTAAATGCAACTGTATATAAAGAAAACTTTCTCTGTATTTTTTTAATTCATTCAATCAATAGAGAAACAATTTTCTTTTCATGTTTAATCCCTAAATCAAATCCTCTCAATTTGTTAAGCTCACATGGTATCAGAGCCAACTACTAATGTCAATGGCAAAGATCTCATATGTTAATCAC